CTCCTTTACCCTCTTCATTTACCCTCCCCCTCCCACTACTAGTGTCCTCCCCTTAACATGACCTGTTTTATATTCCTGCCTTTCATTGTTTAAGTGTCTGTTTGTTATTCAGTGAGGATTTTGCCTTGGTATTTTACCTGTAAATATATTGCGCTTAAATCAGTCTAACCCCCTCTGCTATTCTTCCTCATCCTTTTCCCCTCTAACCTGCATTGTTTAATAGTTTTCAATGTGTTTCATTGTGTCTTGTTCCTGTACACATGTGATGTATTTCATTACTACTCACTCTATCATTCTTTTCTTCTTTTTCTCCTCCCTCAGTCTCCTCCAACAGTCCCACTTTTGGGTACATGCTATATATATACTTTTATGTATATATGATAATGCTTGTATTTGTATTGGATCTGTCTTTCATCTATGGGTGAAAACATGCTATCTTTGTCTTTCTGAACCTGGCTAATGTCACTTAAGATGATGTTCTCCAGTGCCATCCATTTACCTGCAAATGACAAAATTTCATTTTTTATGGCTGAATACAATTCCATTGTGTATAAATATGACATTTTCTTAATCCATTCACCAGTTGTAGAGCATCTAGGCTATTTCCTTAGCTTGGCTATTGTGAATAATGCTGCAATAAACATGGTGTGTGCCAGTGTCTTTATTGTAATCTGACTTACATTCCTTCAGGTATATGCTTAGGAGTGGTATTGCTGAATAAATATGGTAATTCTATTTTTAGTCTTTTGAGGAGCTTCCATACTGTTTTTCATAGTGGTTGTATTAATTTATATTCCCACTAACAGTGTATGGGCACATTCTCACCAGAATTTGTTGTTGTTTGTTATTGATAACTGTCATTCTAACAGGAGTGAGGTGGAGTCTTAATGTGGTTTTGATTTGCATATCCTTAATGAACAGGGATGTTGAGCATTTCTTCATGTGTTTTTGGCCGTTTGTACTTCTGCCTTTGAAAAAAGCTGTTGAATTCATTTGCTCATTTCTTCATTAGGTCATTAATTCTTTGGGAGTTTAATTTTTTGAGCTCCCTGTAAATTCTGGTTATTAATCCCTTCTCAGATGTATAGTTGGCAAAGATTTTTCCCCATTTTGTGGCCTGCCTCATCAGTCTAGCAACTATTTCCTTTGCTCTGCAGAAGCTTTTTAGTTTCATGTAGTCCCATTTGTCAATCCTTTTCTCTTGGTTGCTGAACCACTGGAGTTCTATTTAGGAAGCTATTGCCTATGTCTATACATTCCAGTATGTTCTCTCCTTTTTCCAGTAGTTTCAAAATTTCCGGCCTTATATTAAGGTCTTTGATCCACTTTGAATCGATATTTGTACACGGTGAAAGACATGGATCTAGTTTCAGTTTTCTATATGCAGATACCCAGTTTCCCAAGAACATTTGTTAAAGAGGCTGTCTTTTCTTCATGGTATGTTTTGAGCAGCTTTGTCAAAAATCAGGTGGGTGTAGCTGCATGGATTCATATCTGAGTCTTCTATTCTGTTCTATTAGTCTTCATATATGTTTTTGTGCCAGTACCATGCTGTTTTTATTGCTATGGCTCTGTAGTGTAAAGCAGGTATTGTGATACCTGCAGTATTGCTCTTTTTGCTCAGTATTGCCTTGGTTATTTGTGGTCGTTGGTGGTTCCATATGATCTTTATGGTGGATTTTTCTCTTTCTTTTTTGTCAGTACTGGGGTTTGAATTTGGGGCCTCACATTTGCTAGGCAGGCTTTCCACCACTTGAGCCACTCTGTCAGCATTTTTTTGTGTTAGGCATTTTTGAGATAGAGTCTTGCCAACTATTTGCCTGGCTTGACTTTGAACCGAGATCCTCCTGATCTGTGCCTCCTGATAGCTAGGATTATGGGTGTGAGCCACCAGCACCTGGCTACGGTTGATTTTTCAATCTCTGTGTGGAATGCCATTGGAATTCTGAGTGGACAGGCCAAGGAGAAGCAGTGAAGAGTTATGGTCAGCATAGGAGAATGAGTGTTGAGGGACTTGTTTAATCCATTATGGAGATGTATGACAATTTGCTTCATCATTTCTCTACTAGGGGCATGTGATTTGTTTTCACATCACAGCATCCAAAGGGTTTAGCAATCTTGGTTGGAATCTAAGTTGGCATCTGTATCTAGTCCAGAAGTGAGGCTGGCAGATGGGGTTCCCTAAATGGTTATCCTTGAAATGGATGGAAGGGCCCCACTTCTTGGAACAGCACACATTGGCAACTCTGGGGATGCCAGGATGGAGTGCAGATGCTAGAGAGATGGGATTAGCTAAGACTGCAAGTTATTAGGGGCTGTTGAAGGCCAGCTAGAGAAATTGAGGTGCAAGTTTTAAAGCTTGGTTATCAGAGACTGGTTGTGAAGCCACAGCTTTATGGGCATCCAGTGAACCATCACTTTCCATGAGCAACAGAGCCACTGGGCTCTGGGCAGCTAAAACAAACAGAGCACTGGCGGCATCCAATCCATTGCCAGTCTCAGCTAGATGTGACTCAGAAACAGGGTAGAGCTGATCTAGTGGGGCCCAAATCCCGAAGATGAATAGATAGTATGAGGCAGGAAGCAATTGGTTTGGGGCATAGAACTTACAAGTAATGTGAATTGGGGAACTTACTCAACCTCTTTGTGTCTCAGTTTCCCATTATAAATAGGAGATAAGGGTTGTACCTTCCTTTGTTATAAGGATTAAATGAGTTACTATCTGTATGATTTTAGAGCAGTGTGTGTTAGACATAGTGAGAATTTTAAAAATAAAGTGCATTTTATCCTTTACATTCTAAATGTTACTTCTTTGGTGATATAATCTAAAATACACACCTCCAACATAAGGCTAGGTTCCCCTTTGATATGATCTCATAGCATTCTGTATTTCTTCATTGTGTTCATCAAAAATAAAATTAAGTAACTGATACTACAATAGAGAAGGCTGATGACATAAGAAACCTCTTTTGTATTGTATATTGTTGTGTTTTGGCACCATGCTTTCTACATAGAAGGCGCTCCATAGATATAATTGAGTGAATGAGTGAGGATGCCTAGCACGTGGCACAGCGTGACTCAAAGGAAAATCTCCTTGAATGATGGCTGAATTGAATTTGAATAGAGCGCTCAAGAAACATCCTAAACTAAACTACAGACACATGTTAGTTACAGCCATGGGTGCTGATGCAGGCACTCTATTAAAAGTATCAGCAAGGGAGCAGCTCATACCCTGCTGATTAGAGATGTGCTGGGCTGAGCTGAGATGCTGGTGGCCCTGCTCTGCCAGGCACTATCCCTTTAGGGACCAGATTATAGAAGGGGCCAGAGCCTGGACCAGGTGGGAGGGACTGAGTCAGCTTAGTGGAGAGGTTCTCTCACAGCAGAGAAAGAAATATTGCATGTTAACCACCAGCCTGACTTCCCAGGTGCAAAATGGCTGAGTGCCAGCCCTGAGCTTAAAGAGCTCATGGGGTGAGAAGCAAGGGTGCAAAGTCCAGGAATGTCTGCTTTTGAGTAGCAGCAGAAGTTCCTGCAAGGAAGCTGAGAGCAACTGAGCAGTGGAAAGGGAACCAGGAACACTGTCCTGGAATCCAAGATAACTTCTGGGAAAGACTGGTTGGTCCACAGGGTCAGTACTGTAGGTGGAAAACCAAAAGTCACTGGCCAGGGACTGAAGACAGACTGTGCCTGGTATGGTGTCACAGTATGCCAGGCCTTCTAGGATATTGATTTACTGGAACGGAGAATAAAGTAGAAGTGAAGGTGTGTGGGCAGGTGTATAGATTATTCTTTTCTCAGGAAAGACAAGGTCAGAGGCAGCTGCCAATGTCAAGAGAAGCGGTGTCAGAGGATGCTTTAGCTAATTACTAATTTATATATTTCTTTATGAAAAGAAAGATCCAAGCACACTTAAAAGATATGAAGAGGCCATTAGAAATGGAATGGTTGAAAATGTTGGAGCAGGGGTAATAAACAGATTTGAATAGTATGTTAGCTGTCATTGGCTATCTGTGCAGACTGTAGAGTCATAAAATGGAATACACTTGCTTTTCAAATGTGCATGTATCATTCACAGAATTGATTCTATTTTGAGACACAGGATTTGCCTATTAAGTTGTTAGGGCCTGAAAGGAGTAGATTCTTTATGCAGTATTCTTGAGAGCAATGTAGTAGCATGAGGAATAATTAACCAAAGAAAACAAAAACTGCCAAAGGCATAGGTGTTATAGCATAGTGCCTGCATGAGAAGGGAGCACATGAATGGGGGAAAGAGAGACAGTCAATGAAAACAATAAACTTAGGAAGTACTGTCAAATAGAGGCTAGAGGAAAAGATATCGCTCTAGATATTCTTACCTGCTCAATAATATATCTGAAGCACTATGAAAGAAATCTGTGCTTAAAAGAGCTTTAGAAATCAACGAAATAATCAGCAGAAAGAAGGAAGGAAAAGGTAGACAAGGTAAAATCCAAAACAGAAAAAAATTGGAAAAAGAACACAACTCCTAAGATGATGAAAAGAGAATCCAAGTCAGGCACATTGGCTCACACCTGTAGTCCTAGCTACTCAGGAGGCAGAGATCAGGATGATTGTGGTTCAAGACAATAGGGTAAAAAGAAACCCTATTTCAAAAATACCCAACATGAAAGAGCACTGAAAGAGGGGGAATCAAGTTGTAGCACACCTGCCTAGCAAGTGTGAGGCCTTGAGTTCAAACCCCAGTATTGCCAAAAAGAGAATCCATAGACAGAACACATTATATTAATTTTCTATATCATGCATTGAAAATAATAAAACATATGGTAAGAAAACTTAATATCTTATTGTTTCCAGCTTTTGCAATGAACTCTTAAATTTGTTGCATGTCCTTGCGTGTGACACTAACTTGGTACTGGATAGTCATGGGGGAAGATTTGGCACAGTGTTTCATATGACTAAAGTCAGTTTTCTCTTTATACATACAAATACGACCACTAAAAAAACAAAGTCTGAATTACCCTTAGTGAAAATTCCACATTTTCTCCTCCCCAAAGATCCATGCCCTTGTCGTACTGTCCAATTTCATTAAAATAATGCCTGTGTATGGCAAAAATTCCTCCTGCCATTGCAGGTGACCTAGAAAAGGAAGCAAATGTTAAACCAATTATACAAAGACAGTAATCACACATCTTCCTAAAAATTATATTGAATGTTAGTGATAAAATAGTTAAAAACTAGAAAGCCATAACAATACAAAAATTATCTAAATATATATTTAAGTACGTAAAATTGCTAAATTAAAACCACAACTACCTAAAGTAGGCAATAACATTTATTATTTAGTTCTCACCAAATTAGGTAAGCAATATAGTCTTTGTACATGTGTTTTGTTTTATTTCAGTTGATATATAAATTCAGTACAGTGCGATGTTTTGATAAATGTACAAATTGTGTAATGATGAAATCAGGGAAATAGGCATTTTTATCACCTCAAACATTTGTCATTTCTCTGTGGTGAGTTATTCAAAATCATCTCTTTTGTTTTGAAATACACAATACATTATTATTGACTATGGTCACCTTATTATACAATAGAACTCCAGAACTTATTCCTCTTAACTATAACTGTACCAATTGACTGATCCCCTGCAGTCTCTGGTAATGACTATTATATTTCTTTGAAGTTCACACTTTTTTTTGGCAGTGCTGAGGCTAGAACTCAGGGTCTTGTGCATTCTAGACAACCACTGAGCTACATCTCCAACCCCTGATTTTTTTTTGAGACAGGGTCTCACTGTGTACCCAAGACTGGCTTTGAACCCCTGATCCATCTGCTTCAACCTTCTGAGTGCTGGGATCACAAGCATGTGCCACCATGGTTGGCTTGTTTCATTCTTCTACATGTGGATATCCAGTTTTTCCAGCACCATTTATTGAAGAGACTTTCCTTTGCCCAATATATATTTTTATCACCTATGATGAAAATCAGTTGTATCTGGCCTCTCTGTTCTGTTTCATTGGTCTATGTGTTTGATTTATACCAGTACCATTCTATCTTGGTTATAAAGCTTTGTAGGATGTTTTGAGGTCAAATAATATGATGCCTTTGGCTTTGTTCTTTTTGTTCAAGCTTGCTTTGGCTTTTTGGGGTCCTTGGTAATTCCATACAAATTTCAAGACTGTTTTTTCTATTTCTGTGAAGAATGTCACGACTTGTATTTTGATATGGATTGCATTGAATACATAAATTTCTTTGAGTACTATGGGCATTTTTAACAATAGTAATTCTTTCAGACTATGAGTATGGGATATCTTTTCATTTATTTATATCCCCTTTAATTTCTTTTATCAGCATTTCATGGTTTTCAGTGTACAGATCTCTGACCTCCCTGGGTAAATTTATTTGTGTATGCATTAATATGTATTTATGTAGTAGCTACTATAAATGGGGTTTGTAAGCAATATGTTCTACCTGTTGACCTTCTGAGTAGTAAGTGATGTTTAGAAATGGTTTTCCTATGAGGATGAGAGTTGAATGGGGTAGTGGATATTACAGCTCTTCCTTTCTAACAGCATTAAGTGAATTTTAGTGATTACTTCTGAGAAAATTGTAATGTCAGAAGGCATCTTTTTTTTGTCCACTAATACTAATGCCCAAAATACCAAAATAAGTAGTTTGGAAATAATTACAAGTGCATACATTCACTCACTTGTTCAAAAATATATTTATTGGGCATCTGTGGTGTGTTAGGGATGAATTAGTGAAGTGACAGACTGAGAATAGATCCCCTCTGCTATGGGGCAGGGGATAAGATAGGAAGACCTCTATGTTGCAGTGGTCCCAGAGAAAAATGATGACTTCCTGGATGGGATATAACAAGAAATGTTACAAAATGTGGTCAAATTACAGACTTAGCTTGAAGATGCAGCTAATAGTTTTGCTTATGGTTGGGATGTGCAATGTTAGAAGGGCAGAGAAATCCAGGCTGATTTCAGTGGTTTTGGCCTGAACACATGGTAGACGGAGTTGCTGTCCACTGGCATGGAACAAGTGGCTATAACAGGTGTTTTGTTTGTTCGGCAGCACTGAGGTTTGTGTTCAGGTCCTGGCTCTTACTAGCCAGCCATTCTACCACTTGGGCCATTCCCTAGCCCATTTTTGCTTTATTTTTCAAGTAGAATCTTGTATTTTTGCCTAGGGCCTGCCTCAGACTGCCACCTTTCTACTTACAGCCTCCTGCCTAGCTGGGGTGACAGGCATGTGTGTGTCAGCTTATAGACTGAGATGGGGTCTTGCAAACTTTTTGCCCTGGCTGGCCTCAAACTGCAGTCCTCCCAGTCTCCACTCCTCAAGTAGCTGGGACTACAGGCATTGTCCACTGCATCTGCCTGTTCCCATTTTTCTCCACTAAGACACATCCATACATATACCAGTGACTTGGTGGGATTTGATCATGAGGGCCTGATCTATGGGGACAGTCAGAGGAATGGACTGGTCATGTAAAGTCTTTGTAGGGGATAGATCTCCTGGAGTTGGTTAATGTCTGGGTTAGAGAATGGGCCCCAGAGAGCTGGAGATGGCTGCAGAGCATTCCTATGTGGTCATGTTTGAAGACCACATCATACTCCATATGGTCCTTGCATAAACTACTGCATAATTCCACAATTATTCCTTCCAAGTCTTAGTTCATCTTTCTTTCACCCTTGAATTAGGAAGCAAGATTGCTTCTCAAGGTAAGGATGTCTAGGGCCGGGGCCAGGGAATTTGACTATGGGAAGTAATTAGGGTTTGGACTAGATAATGGGGAGTGGGGAGAAAAGGGATCGCAGAGCAATGCGAGGCTGGGGACTATTGATGTGCAGAAGTGTCAGTTCGTGTCTCTTAAATTTTTGGCAGAACTCCTCAACTTATATAGAGGAACACAGGGGCAGATTGGCTCAGTACTGGAGATGTGCTGAGCTTGTAGCAACAATAAGGAGATGCAGCCACTGAGGTGTTGGCAAGAGAAGTGATATACAAGTCCGAAAATGTAGGCCACACAACAAGACAGACAGCTATGAGGAGGGAAATGAGAAATCCAAGGGCTGGAGGTCTGCATGGTATTCAACGTGAAGAGCAAGAAAGCCAGGAAGATCTTTGCTGTGGTCCAGAGAGGGACACTGTATCTAGTAGTTTGGAAATGAGAGACTCAGGAGAGTCTAGCGAATATGTAATAGCTAACATTTGTATATACATTTTGATTTTCATAAAAATCCTGTGAAAGATTATTCTCCAAATATTACAGATAGAGAAATAAGGTTCAAAGAGGCTAAGTAACTTGTTTAAGACCACACAGCTCTAGTTAAATTAGACTAGAGGCAAAGATCAAGGACTTGCTGGGCTATAGTATTGGAAAACTTAATCATCTGGTTTGTGAAGCAGAAAGGTGAGGAGCAAGAGAAGAGGGATGAGTCTGGCATCAAGGTTAGCAGGTAATGTGGAGAGTGGCCTGAAGGCAACCCATTCAGATGTGGCTTCATAAATGTAGCTGAAAGCAACAACATCCAAACTTTGAACAATGACCTGAGAATTAAAGCAAATACAACTATTCTCACATTTAAAAATATGTTTTCCAAGGCTAACAATCTAGGAAAAACACATTCATCTTAATCTATGGAATTGTACTTGGAAACCCTTGGATAAAGATTTTTTTTACACATGTTGGGAAAAGATGTCTACTTCCTCTGAGACAGCCATCATTTTGTTCCTTGGTCTGCATATAACTTGCTCCCAAGGAAAAAAGTCTGCATCCTAATGGTGGGCATCAGAGGTCAGGGAGCTCTAACTACCCACAGTACCCTGTGGGAACTGAAGTGGGATGCACATTTTATTTTCTTCCTTTCTTTCTTTCTTTCTTTCTTTCTTTCTTTTTTTTTTTTTTGGTGGTACTGGGGCTTGAATTCAGGGCCTACATCTCAAGTCACTCCACCAGTGACTTGTGATGGGTTTTTTTTCAAGATAGGGTCTCACAAACTATTTGCCTGGACTGGCTTCAAACCGCAATTCTCCTGCTCTCTGCCTCTTGAGTAGCTGGGATTACAGGAGTGAGTCACCAGTGCCCAGCTGAGATGCACATTTTCACTAGAAGAAACTTAACATCTACCAAATTCTGGTATCAAACACTTTAAGGAACAAAACATTTATCTCCATTAAGCCCAAGAGATCCAAAGAATAATGTCTGTTTTTTTTTCTCAAGTCCCAATAAACATATACCATTTCCCTATAACCAGAAGAAATCTCACCGAATTGGTTTACTTGGTCCTTCTGGCCCATCCATCTCATAAGAGAAAACATGATCCCATTTAAATTTCAGGTTCCAGTCAAAAGCCCCCCTTACAATAGGAGCAGGTTTGTATTCCAGGGTCATATGGTCAATGACGTCGATCACAGGGCATACCACCGATTTGTGGTCCTTGGCAATGGCAGACAGCAAGGGCTCCAGCCAAACTTTGTTCACCTCACAGTGGCTGTCCAGGAATACCAGGATGTCCCCTGTGGAGTTGAGAACAGATAGTGTTAGTCCAAATGGATGAAACAGCCCAAATCAAAGTTCAATGCAGTGAGTATTGGTTGAGCATTTTCTATATGTGTGGCTCTTCTGTTGCACTGAGGGAAACAAGAAATAAGTACTTTATTATGTCCAAACATGTGCGACACCACATGCCATGGATGTTCAAAGGAATCTGGTGAACTATGAGTTAGAGAGTAGTTTGGGGTAAAAATCCAAACTACTGAGCAGGTAGAACTGAGCTGGGCTTCAGTTTAAAAATCGTTATAGCTTGCCTTCATTGATCAAGTTCATTTGCACATTTTTACTGGGAGGATCCCTTCTTAGGCATTGAGTTTAATGCTTGGGATGCAAGATACATAACTGTTTGTATTCTTGAGTTCAAGTTCTAATGAATGTTCTGTTTACAGGCCATGTGAATGACCAAGTGCTATGACTTATACCTGTAGTACCAGGGTATTTCTGGGAGGTAGAAATAAGAGGATCACAGTTCAAGATCATCCTAGGCAAAAATTTAGCGAGACCCTATTTCAACAAATAAGTCTGGCATGGTGGTTTATGCTTGTGATCCCAGGTACTCATAGGTAGGAGGATCACAATCCAAAGCTAGCCCCAAGCAAAAAGCATTAGACCTTATCTGAAAAAACTAAAAGCAAAAAGATCTGGGGCATGGTTCAAGTGCCACAAGCAGAAAACATGGGAGGACAGATAAACTCTGGTTACATATATATGAATATGATGTATGGACCAGTTCTATCTGTGGTTTCCAGCATCCACTGGGGCCTTGGAACATATCCCCTTGTGGATAAAAGGGGGACATATATAGGTTAGGTTTCAAATATAAAGCAGCTAAAGATAACTAAACAACTAGAAAGCCATAATTCATCCTATAAGTTCATTCATTCACTTCATTCACTCTATAAGAAAAAGTACAAGAAAAGCAAATTATAAATCAACTTTACTTGGAACATAGATGCAACGTATATGTGTGGGGACCAGGAGGAGCTGGAGAGAAAATATATGTGGGAGCTTTTGCATTGAGGTGTTGAGTGAGTGCATTGAGGTTTGAAATTTTTCAAAATAAAAAATTAGTAGGACTCTTCTTTAATGCAAAGTTCTGTAGTTTCACTGGTTAGATTGTGTCCCCCCCCAAAAGATATGTTCAAGTCCTAACCTCCAGACTTATTTCTGTGTGGGAAGGAAGATCTCTATGACACAGTCACAGACTCACATCCTAAGTTAATGCACATACCTGAAGCATGAGATGCTCCAATCACCCTTGATCGAATCAGACCCTCTCTCTTTTTATTTCTTATTAGTTTAATCTTTCCCCGAAAGGCTTCCAAGTGATAGTCTAGTTTTTCTTTCAAATCATCTGGAAAAATAAACAGCAACTATAGTAAGTAAATCAATTTATCACTATTATGATTGATTGCTAAAAACCATGCCTTAATCTTCAAAGAAAGTTTAACCTTAAAATCAAATTTTATCCTGTGGATAAGGAGAAGATAAAAGTGATTTATCATCAAAACCAGCTGTAAACATTTCCTATGTTTCTAATGAAATACTTCTTTCAATAAACCTCTATTAAACTTTTAATAGAAAAAGTATTAGCTACGGAACTTTGGTGCAGCCTGATAGTCTACTAACTACACAAATTATATTGTGAGCAACTATGCTTCTGAGTTTGTAGTGACTCTTAAGCAAGCTATCAAACCATATGCTCTTTTACTCAATATTTGAAGGGTAGTACAATGATGAGAAAGGAGGCTGGGGACCAGGCGATACAGATACAGTGACAGAGAATTCTAAAGTTCTACGTCCCAGGAGACTGGATCCAGAGGCTGAAATCAATAGGAGCAGGCTTGTGGTTATCCTGGCAGAAAACACCTCCCTTTACAGAGAGCCTAAGTCCTGTTCAGGGACAGGGATACAGACTGCCCGGCTTCACTTGTAGTATGATAGGCAGCATGTCAGATTGGCTGTCTGTGAGCCTTTCCAGCAGCCTGTGCCCAAGGACTCTGTGAGCCAGGACTTGGGGTACATAAAGGCAGTACAGAATACAGTATATCTGACCTGCAGTGGAGGGCTTGGGTTTTTAGAAGATAGTCATGTTGTTGGCTGGTAATCAAGAGGGACCAGAACAATGGGTAAGGTGGGTGGCAACAAGTCATGCCCTTTGTTCAACTCAGGGAAGGCAGTTCCCTGGCCTCTGTCCCCCATTCCCCTAAGCTGAGGGAATCTATTGCTACTGTCTGTTTTCATCAGCTGGGAAAGATAGGCTTCAGTTCAAAAAAACTGTCCTAAAGTCCATGATGAAATTGTGAATTAAAGGCTCCATGAGAACACAATAGCTTATGTCTTGTGTTTGCGGTTCTGCATGGGCCCATGGCTAAAATCAAGAAGAAGTAGAGGTGTCTGGTCAGGCAGTACACTCAGGTCTCTACTTAGTGACCTTCTTTTCTCTTATGAAGAAGGACCAAAATGCATAATGAATATGTGAGCAGGTTACCAAATGTTATGAACTGGATATTTGTGTCCCTTGCTCCAATTTCAAATCTAATGTCAAAATCTAATCACCAATATGATAGCATCTTGAGGTGGGGATTTGGGGGAGGCATTAGGTCATGAGGGTAGACCCTCATGAATGGGATTAGTACCCTTATATGAAGATACCTGAGAGCCCACTTGATCTCTTTCTGCCATGTGAGGACATAGCAATAGGATGTCTGTCTGTAAACCAGCACCCTTACCAAGAACTTGGTCCTCACATTACCCTGATCTCCAGAACTGTGAAAAATCAATGCTTGTTGCCCAAACCATCCAATCTATGTTATTTTGTAACAGCAGTCAAGCTAGCAAGACAACATGTCTCCAAACTCATGATAAAGTTCTTAAGACTTGCAGTGGTCATTTTTGGAACTGCACCCCCATGGTAGGATCCTTGAATTTCTGGGTGAGAAGGCAGACATCCTCAGAGTAGAAGATCATCCCTCCCCCTGCACCTACACATGGCTTTACTGTGGCTTCTTGTCAAGCAAGTTGTCAAACATGCCACTTAGCAGACAAGACAATATGGGTAAAGCAAAAAGGCTAGGATTATCTCTCCATGCCCCTTGTAGGCCCGAGACTAGAAATAAGCAGCCTTGTACCCTCAGATTTTGGTGACTCCCATAGAAATGATGTTATATATGATAGGTTCCTGGCCAGCATTTAAAATCTCAAACATAGTGATATTAGTTTGAGTTACACTCCAGAGGCATTTAATATCAGTCCCCACATGGTGGATCTCCTGGGGAATCTTCTTTTCTTCTCCTCGACTATTCTTCTTCCTATGCGTTTTCTTCATCTTTTCCTTTCCAAGCTCATAACAGGTCAGATTCACCTTGGGTTGAGTTGACTTGAAGGCCTGAAACCTGTCCAAAATTGACAGCATTGCTTCCGTACTCCTTGCAGTCCTAAGATTTGAACTTAGTTGTAAAACAAACAACTAATTTCATATTCTAAGGGTGGCTAAACGAATTTTGTACTAGTATCACAATTATTTTAGAACCAGTAAGCGTAAGTGTGAAGCCCTGAGCTCAAACCCCAGTCCCATCATCCCCACAAAAACTACCAGTAGGTATTGAGGAATAAGTACTTAACTACAGTTGGTCCAATTGGAATTCTTTTATGTAAGATACCCAGATCAGGTAATTTCCCTGCATTAAGCTCTTGATAGCTCTACTTATTCTTGAGATTAAATCTTAATAATGCCCTTAATAACTTTGGCTTTATGCCTCCCCCCCCCACTCTCCCAGCTCTACAATCATTCATAAACTACATAAATGCAGAAATATTCCAAACTCACCATCTTGTCTTTTGCCCCTGGCCCTTTACAATGCCGATTCCTCCTTCTCCATCTGGATAACTCCAACTCATCTTTCCAACCTCCATTTAACTACTACTTCTTCCTGAAGTGATCTCCAAAATGGGTTTTGTTCCCTTGGCTGACCTCATGGATGCTCCATCAGGACAGGGACCATGACATCTACATCCACCATATGTACCCATAGCACCTGGCAGGCACAGTGTCTGCTTCAATACCTGTCTAAACCTCCTTTGTATAAAATCAAGTTCCACTATCAAGAGCACCACCTTCAAAGTAGATTAGAAAATCAGTTCTGTCTTACCAAATTCACTCATGTCATCTACCAAAATAATTTCTTCAAGGAAATATTCTGGAGTAAGATACATAATGCTGGACACTGTCCGAAACAAAGCATTGAATTCTTCATTATAGAAGCAAATGATAATGCTGGCAGAAGGTAGATGGAGTGAGTAATGCTTTTGAAGACATCTGCAGGGATAAATAATAGGAAGAGAATGATTGATCTGAAACCTTATATGCTTAGAGGTCTCTTTCCTATTTTCATTTTCTCCTTCCATTGATCATCATGACAATACAATGACAGCACATATAAAGATGCAAAAGCTTCCTTAACTTTTATGTTGTTTTAACAATTTTGGAATCATTTCTCCCTTCTTAATTGTTTTTTATTGACACTCTGTTTTGGTAATCTTAATTGTACTTTAAATATAGTATAAATACAAATTGTATCCATATTTTAGCTTCTATTATAAAAATGAATTACTAAGGTCATACACACTGAAAGATTCATATGAAGCTCATTGTATGACTTTTAAAGAAAACTCACTGTTAGCTGGGCTCTGTTGGCTTTCGCCTGTAATCCTAGCTACTGAGAAGGCAGAGATCGGGAGGATTGCAGCTTGAAGCCAGCCCAGGCAAATAGTTCATGAGACCCTATCTCAAAAAAACCCATCACAAAAAAGGGCTGGTAGAGTGGCTCAAAGTGAAGGCCCTGAATTCAAACCCCAGTACTGCCAAAAAAAAAGAAAGAAAGAAAAGAAAACTCACTGTAGTTGTTTTTTTATATATAGATCTGCCATCTGCTGCAACAAAGAAATGCAATGAGTCTGATGTAATTGGATGTCTTCTAAGTATTTGCAAGTATTTGACAAAAAGGTTTTATTATTTTATTTTTGTGCACATGAGGGAAAAATGAAAGCTGCGTTCTAGTAATATTAATTATTAAGTAGTAATTGTTTGGATTGTTATGTTAGTATTCAGTTATATTTTGAAATATTTTGATTGTAAATTCAGAAACCTACTGGAGCTAATTTAAGCAAAATAAAGAGCGATATATTGGGAGGGGACCCAAATATCTCACAGGAAGTTGCATAAAGGCAACTGGAGCCTTAGAGAACTAATGGAGCTGGGGAGGCCTGAGTGCCATCTGGATACTCTGTCCATCTCAGCTCTTGTCCTTACATCTGGGAATAATAATGACAACAGCAATAATTAATAGCATCAGCCTACCTCAGAAGGTTTCCATATAAAATGCTCAGAACAGTGCCTGGCATGTAGTATGTATTAATGTAAAGTTCATTATGTGATTATTGTTCTCCCTTGCAACCTGGCTTATATCCACTTCTTTAACTCCACAGAGTGGAAATGTGGTTAACATAGCATATTTTATAGTCCAGCACCCAAGGTAGGACCTTCTCTTTCCCAAGCCCTAAACTTCCAGGAAAGTTTCATTGGCTCAATTTGGCTCAGTCGCCAGCCCTGGGCTTATCAACTAGAGCCAAACAGTGGGGTCAAAATATAAGACCATAGTTCCCATCACAACCACGAGTAAAGGGGAATGTTTCCTGGAAAATACCAGGGCATTGGGTTCCAGGCAGGCATTGTACAGGAATCCTGGAGTCCTTCCAGATATTTGTAAATGAAGGCATCGTGGAGAGGACCTTGTCCTGACCACTTCTACCCAGGACCAGATGAGGATATAGGAAGTATTCTTGCTGAGTAAAATCTGGCACTGTGCTCAAAGGAATGGATTATGTGAGATGACAGAACCCAGAAAAAACCTGAATAAATGGGAATGGTGTGTAAGTACACATTCTGCACCTAAGTCTCAAACATTAAGTGGAAATATAACTTTGCAGAAATATGTGTGAAAAGGCTTGAATTTATGAGAAAAGAAACAGGAGAAAGGGAGGGAAAGATAGGGGAGAGGGAGGAGAAGGGAGGGGAGAAAGGAAAGGGAAAGAGAGAAGGAGTGAGGAGAGGATAGAGTGAATGATGCTAGGCTGAAGAATAACGCCAAGAATGAGAGAGCTGTGGTGGAAGGTGAACTTGTAGTGCCTAAGTCACAGCTCCAATAATATGCAGTCCAGGAGTGACATTTAAACAAACTATGGATGAGCAGTGTTCCTTCAGTTTGATGATGGTGAAGAAGCCTGAAACTGCCACATGAGAATTCTTTAGGTCCCCAAGACAGCATGTTGTGTATATGTTTCTCTAAAATTAATCAAGAAATGTTTGCTGTGGTATTTCCTTATAGAAAACCTTTTAGCCTAAATAAGTTGTTTTTACCAGTAAAAGTAGTTTGGACAAGGCTGGCTTTAGTGTTTGGTAAGTCAATCTGTTCTTTGCTGTCTATCTAGATTCATGATAGCATAAGGCAGGATTGGTAGGTATTGAAGAGTGTCTCCTTAAACCCATGTGATGAATTCCTAATGCCCCGGACAGAGAATGTAACCTGACTTGGAAGCAGGATGATTGCAGATGTAACTAGTAAGATGAGGGTGTTAAGGTGGCCCTAACACAATGTGGCTGGCTGGTCTTATACAAAGGGGGAATTTGGACAGAGATAGACATGCTCAGAGAGAAGAGGATGAAAGGACCATCACCATGACCAAGGGGGATTTATTTTGGTTACATAGATGTTTGAACACATGTAAATCAATAAATGCAAAACACCACATTAACAGAATTAAGGACAGAAACAATATAATCATCTGAATAAGAAAAAGCATGACAAAATTCAATGTCCTTTCATGATAAAAATTCTCAACAAATTAGGTAAGGAAGAACTGTATCTCAACACAATAAAAGCCATATATGACAAACCCACAGCTAACATCATACTCATTATCAATAAGTCGAAAGTTAATTCAAATGGCCAGAAAACACATGAAAAAATGCTCACCATCCTAGCTAGAATAGATTAAAAAACTAAGACCACACAGAATCATCAGCCTGAAAAAGCAAACACCACCAACAATGGAATTGGAGAACATCATTCTGAGTGAGGTTAGCCTGGCCAAAAGACCAAAATCGTATGTTCTCCCTCATATGTGGACATTAGATCAAGGGCAACACAACAAGGGGATTGGACTATGAGCACATGATAAAAGCGAGAGCACACAAGGGAGGGGTGAGGATAGGTAAGACACCTAAAAAACTAGCTAGCATTTGTTGCCCTTAATGCAGAAAACTAAAGCAGATACCTTAAAGCAACTGAGGCCAATAGGAAAGGGGACAGGAACTAGAGAAAAGGTTAGATCAAAAGAATTAACCTAGAAGGTAACACCCATGCACAGGAAATCAATGTGAGTCAATGCCTGTATAGCTATCCTTATCTCAACCAGCAAAAACCCTTGTTCCTTCCTATTATTGCTTATACTCTCTCTACAACAAAATTAGAGATAAGGGCAAAATAGTTTCTGCTGGGTATTGAGGGGGGGAGCGGGGGGGTGGAGTGGGTGGTAAGGGAGGGGGTGGGGCAGGGGGAGAAATGAACCAAGCCTTGTATGCACATATGAATAATAAAAGAAAAAAAAAAAAAAAAAAAAAGAAATGAGTTTGAGAACAATATGGTATATCTTAATTTGATCTTTTAAAAAAAGATAAAGTTCTTTCTGGCCATCAGTGTGTTACATACTCATCAAAAAGTTTATGGGCTGGAGATTTGGGTCAGTGGTAGATTACTTTGCCTAACGTGTAAATCCTGGTTTGAGCCCAGTACTAGAAAAAAAAAAAAAAGATGGCAGAACTCAGAAAAGCTTTAAAAAATGTGTAAAAAAATCAACCCAATCCCCTAGCTCAGAGGTAATTACTTCTGACAACATCAGTTGTGTCTCTCCTGACTCCCCTCTAATTCATATCTTCTTTTTTATTAATTGGAACCATACTTTATGTTCTTGTTTATAAATTTTGTTAGTGGAATATAAGACTACATGGGAACAGCGGATGTCATAATACATAGTTAGTCACTCAATAAAATATTGTTGGACTGGTATGACAGCACAAGCCTAAAACTCTTAGGCATTAAGGCAGCTGAGCGAGCAGGGGATCGAAGCCTGAGGTCAGCTTGCATGAATAAAAAATGCCCTGTCTCATAAAACAACAATCCCCCCTGCTGCGTTTTTGGTTAACTGGATTTTATAAAACTGTTTCACTTCATGCAAAGTTAGCAATTTTTGCATTATTATGTATTCTTTCAATATCATTAATTTTTTAATGCTACATGTCCTGTGGTATGCAAAACAGTTCTCTAACCACTGATGGTTGAAGTGTACTTCAAGTTTGTTATAGGTTAACACTGTTGCAGAATTATCTCTTGGATATTCCTATATAAGCCATTTTCTGCACATTTCATTTCCTTGAAAAATACATTTGTTACAAGGAAACTCCTGAGGTCAACTGTGCTGCTTAAAATTTCTGCATTTTGCCAAATTGCTTCTTCCACCCCCACAGGGTGGATCTCAACCCATGCCCCTAAAGCCTTTTCATTAGAATCCATGCCTGTGCTTTAAACTTTGATAATTATTAAAAGATGAATATATATATATATATATATATATGTATCCTATTTTATTTTATTGCCTGTTTTCTTTCATTGCTACTGGAACTGAAGTAATAGTTACTAGCCCAAAAACACAAATGTACTTTCTATTTGCCTTAGTTGACTTCTTTTCATGATGTGTTTTTTTTTTCTAATGATTAGTAAAGAACTCTTCACTATAATAAAGATGTATTGAGTTATAGATTTAAATTTCATTGTTAGCATTTTTATTGGCATTGTATACTTGTTCTACTCTATTCGAATCTATTTTTATACTATACCACAGACATGATTTTTGTGTATTCGGTGTACTTATTATTGTGGCATGTTGATTTATTAGCATTATTCTTTCACAAATGTGTCTTGACGATTGTTGTATATAGCTTCAATGGAAATTTAAACTCATTTTTGGCTGGGAAGAAACTCAAGTGACAAAGCACCTGCCTAGCAAGTGCAAAGCACTGAATTCAAACCCCAGTATTTAAAAAAAGAGAGAATAAATTGATTTTGTTAAGTTTAAAAAAATAAATAAATAAATAAGTCGAAAGTTTTTCCCTAAGATGTAGAACAAGATAAGAATGCCCACTCTTGTCACTTGCATGGGACATAATAATGGAAGTCCTAGCCAGAGCATTTAGGCAAGAGAATTAAATAAAAGGCACTCAAATCAGAAGGGAAGAAATTAAGTAGTCCTGCTTTCAGATAACATCTTATATATAGAAAACTCTAAATACTTGACCCCCACAAAACTGGTAGAACTAGTAAATGAGATTTACAATTAGTAAAGTTGTAGGATATAGAACCAATATATGAAAATCAGTAACATCTCTATCAACTAAATGAACTATCCAAAACAAAAATGAAGAAAACAATTCTATTGACAATAGCTAAAACAAAGACAAAACACCAACCTAAGAATAAATTAAATTTAACCAAGGAGGTGTTACATTGCAAATTGTAACAGATTGATGCAAGAAGCTGAAGAAGACATAAATGAAAAGATACCCTGTATTCGTGCATTAGAAGAATTAATATTGTCCATACTACCCAAAGTAATCTGTAGATCCAATGCAATTGGATGACATTTTTTACAGAAATAGAAGAACCAATCCTAAATTTCATATGAAACCACAAGAGCCAAGGCAATCTTGAACAAAAAGAACAAAGCCAAGACATCATGCTACCTAAATTCAAAATCTACTACAAAGTTATAATAAAAAAGCACAGTACAGGCATAAAAACAGACATATTGACCAATGGAACAGAATAGAGAGCCTAGAAATCAATCAGTATATTTATGGACAACTAATTTTGAAGAAGATGCTGAGAATACACTGTGGGAAAAGGACAGTCTCTTCAATAAACGATGCTAGAAAAACTGGATTTCCATGCACACAAGAATGAAATTAGGCCCTCATCTCACACCACATGCAAAAATAAACTCAAGATGGATTAAAGACTTAAACATGAAACCTGAAGTTATAAAATATCTAGAGGAGAACACAGGGCACAGCTCCATGATTTTGGGGGATACGACCCCAAAAGCACAGCAGCAAAAGCAAAAGTAATTTAGGAGACTGAGGCAGGGAGATCTTAAGTTCAAGGGTAGTCTGAGCTACAGAGCAAGTTCCAGTTCAACCTGGGCTCCACAGTGAGACCCCATTTCAAAAAATAAAATAAAATGGAATTATATAAAATTTAAAAATGTTCTAGGGCTGGCTCAAGTGGTAGAGCACCTGCTTAGCACATATGAAGCCCTGAATTCAAACCCTAGTGCTGCAAAAATAAATAAATAAATAAATGGATAAAAACCCAAATAGAACATTTTTCAAAAGAAGACAAATGGGTCATAGATGTATGAAAACACTAATGCAAACTAAACCCACATGAGCTATCACCTCACATCTGTTAAAATGATTATGATCAGAAAGATGAAAGCTGACAATGTGGAGCAAAGGACCCTGAACCCTGCTCGGAGGAATGCACGTTAGTGCGGCCACAGTGAGATCCATGACCCAACAATCTCACTTCTAGATGCAAGTGTGAAGGGTGTGGAATCAGCTATCCACACTCCCGTGATTACTGACACATCATCCACAGCAGTCAAGAATGGAATCGACCCCCCGTGGAGGAATGAGTACAGAGAGTGTGGGGTATGCACACAATGGAGTACTGCTCAGTCTTAGAAAAGAAGAAAAGCAAGTTGTTTGTGACAACATGGGTGGACCCAGAGGACATGAAGTGAAACATGAGAACGCGGAGGAAGAACGAGGAGAAGAGCAAGGATGAGGGCGAGCCTCAGTGCGGCTGCCAGTGGAAATTCTAAGGAGCTCTAACTGCTTAGGAAGCCAAGATGGAAGGTGTTGCGTAAGAAGCTGGGGATACAGGTGAGGTGGGAAGATTGGGACAATGTGGTCAAATGTTATAAAGTTTCAGTTATACAGGAAGAATGAGGTCAAGAGGTATGTTGTATGCATGGTGATTACAACTAACAATATATTTTCACATTGAACATTGCCGAGAGGGTAGGTTTTTAGTGTTCTCACCACATATGGAAAAATAAGTATGTAAGGTAACTAATCATGTGCTAATAATTAACTTCATCTAGCCACTCCTCAATGCATACGTACATCAAACATCACATTGTACACCATACACACAACTTTCACTTTTAACTCATTGTTCCTCTTTTTGATGGTTCTACTGTTTAAACTCAGGGCTTTGTGCTTGCTAGGCAGATGTTCTACCACTTGAGCCACAACTCAGTCCTTTTTGCTTTTAGGTTATTTTTCAGATAGGATTTTGCACTTTTGCCCAGGCTGGCCTCAGACTGTGATCCTCCTACCTATGCTTCCCTCTAGGTGAATTATAGGTATACACCACTATATCCTGTTTGTTGAGATGGGATATCACTAACCTTTTGCCTGGGCTGGCCTTAAACTATTATTTTCAATTTAAAAACTTAAAGTGAGAAATAAACTATGGCAAAGCTGAAGTAGCAGTTCCATTTAATGGAATAATATGGCCTCTAGAGCAGACTAAACATCTGCTTGGACTCCAGACAGTATAGTTACTCCTCCTTGTTAGAATATCTTTTAAATATAGTAGGATTCTTTGTAAGAATTGAATTTCCTTCTAAAAACTGTCAAGTGCACTTCTCTTTAAGGGCAAATATCTCTAAACTCTCCTTTCCTGAACAAATAATCAAGTGATGGAAGAAGGGATGCAAACCCAGTCTGACCATTTTAGATGAGTTTTGAGGGAAAAAATGATAGCAGGGAGAGAAATTCATAACTTATTGCAATTCAAAATATTGACCTGCCTTTGTGGTAGTTATTCAGTGATGAAAAATTGTCTTCCAATGGGTGCTGGTGGCTTATCCCTGCAATCTTAGCAGAGATCAGAAGGATTGTGGTTCAAGGCCAGCCAGAGCAAATAGTATGCAAGACCCTATTTTGAAATACCCAACACAAAACAGGGCTGGTGGACTGACTGAAATGGTAGAGTGCCTGCATAGCAAGTATGAAGCCCTGAATTCAAACCACACACACAAATAAATGTTTTCTAAATTAATTCATACCATGGTCTGTGGTTTGGGTAAATTATATATTTTTTCTTTTATTGTGACATAAATAGATTGTGTCATTATATGTAAACATTGTATCTCTTATGCCTGACATATCGTGAGTGGTATTTGTGGCTTTAAGTGTTTGTGTTGGGGCTGGAGGTGGCTTAAGTGGTGGAGTGCCTGCCTAGCAAGCCTGAGGCCCTGAGTTCAAACTCCAGAACTGCCACACACACACACACACACACACACACACACACAAAGTTTGTGTTGCATAAAATTCCAATAAGGCAATGTGGTCCCGCTTCCCAGTGTTCTAGAACTCGGCATTTACCTCTATATCACTACATTCCTTAAATATTTTTCTCTCAGGTAAAGGAGAATATCAGCCCCCTTTTGCTTGGAAACAATCAGAACCTAAATCATACTTAAAAGGCATTAACATGTACAAGCTACAGCATGGATGAACCTGAGGACTTGTGCTAAGGGAAATAAGCTAGTCCCCCAAAACACAAAGAGTGTTTGATTTCACATGTGTGAGGTAATCTAGAGCAGTCAAATTCATAGACACAGAAAGTATAATCCTGGCCGCAGGGCCAGGGAAGAGGAGGAGGTGGGACATTGTTTAATAGGTTCAGATTTCAGTTTTGGATGATGAAAAAGTTCTGGAAATGGATGGTGTGATGGCTGCACACTAGTGTGAAAATACTTAATGTCACTGAATTGTGCATCTAAAATGATTCAAATGGTGAATTTTTATGTTATGTGTATTTTACCATAATTTAAAAAAAAATGGACATTAACACAAAAGATTGAGGAAACAATGAAAATAAAGCAGACTTTGAAGAAAAATAGATAGCTGTTCCAAGCATTTTTCTGTTGGGAATGAAGTGGGAATGAAGCCACGTTTGGCCAGAAGCTCTTAATGGTGACTGAGTAAAAAGACGTGTGGGTGACTTAGTTCTCAGAAACATGTAGAACACACTGTGCTGATGCAGGAGGTACTCTGTATACCATAGGTCTTATAATCTTGAAATAGGATCTTGACATTATCTGACTTTGAGTCCTAAAAGTAGGAATTCATGTAAGACTTCTATATGCTCATATTAAAATCTGGTTAGTAGCTGTGTTTATTTTTAATGAGAAAGGAACATACTTTTTATTCCTGGCATCTGGCACTTCCCTTGCACTGCCCAGTCTTCTACTGATAATGGTATTAAATCCATGTTTTAAAAGTCCTTTGAAAAGCTCCGGATCTGAAAAGTTAATGTTCTTATCTGCAAGAAAAAGTAATTAGAGTCACATAGGTAAAGGCTTACTGCTGTTGCACAGATGCAGGACAGCACCAACAACTCTATCCTGAGCTTATTTCTTTTATAACAAGGCAGTGCTATTTTCTTGGAATCCAAACCTCCTCCAAATGACAAGGTTAAAAGGTGAGACCACAAAGTATTTACACAAATCAAAGCTATTATGTTTTTCCCCCCAGTACTGGGGATTGAACTCAGGACTTTGCAGTTGCAAGACAGACACTCTACCACTTGAGCCACACCCACAACCAGAGCTCTTCTTTAGCAAAGAATACTCATTGTCTTTTATGGAAGGAAGTGCTCAACCCCTTCAGTGCCACCAAGATTCTCAAATGCAGTGTGAGATTATAATGACAGAAGGACTTAAGGAAAGTTGGAGAATTAGAGCTGGAATTACTCTTCCCAAATCCCATCAAAATATCAATCATAACAACAAATGAAGTGGGGAAATTGTCTATCAAAAAATAAAAGACTTTTAGATGGGAATGAAAAACAATGTAGTCATAAAGATAAGCAAAATGGAAAAAGTGAAAGAATGGACACAGAAGGCAGGAGTCAAAGTATAATTTTTAAAAGTGTACAATTTAGTAGAAGATGTGCACAGAAAGTCATTTTATACTAAGACGTAATTCACAATACACACTTAATAGTAATGAGCTTGCATTTAATAATATCAAATAATGCTGCAACAAAACAAAGAAAAATATCTAGGAATATCAGAATGTACTGCCACAGTAATGGGGTATTTTAAGAACTCTGAATCAGAGGAAAATTAGACAGAACTTGAATAATGTAATTAACTGATTCCTTAGTGGATATATATTGTACTTTGTAGGAAATTAACTTTTGCCCCCAATGCCCAATGAGTGTTTTCCAAAATTGCTATAAAACACTATATATAAAGGGGGTCTGGTCAAGATAGAGTGGCCGCATTCCTCCCAGATCCTCTTTCTTACAAAAAAAAAAATCCTGTACCAAACACACAGATAAGCATAGGAGGGCTCCGAAAGATGGAAGCAAGGAAGCTGATTGCCTAAGGGCTTCGTGACTTGATGAAGGTCTTGAATGACGGTCCTCAGAGTTTTGTTGCTGTCTTCTATAAATCCCAGATGGGAGCACTGCAGAAGCCTCCAGGTGGAATAACTAAAAAGCCCCGCCTCCAGCCCCGCCTAGTAGCAACAAGAATTAGCAGTGTTGTGAGGGTGTGAGCACTCTGCCTCCTCTTGCCCTGGTGTTAGTGGGGTCCACTGGGGGCTGATGTCCATTCTCAACTGGAAGCATCGGAAGGAAACAGGTGGGAACACTCCTCTCTCTTCCTAGTGCCAGTGAGGCCCAGTGGGGGAGTTAAGCCTGTTCTACCTGGTGTCAGTGAGGCACCAGGAGGGACGGGAGGCAGGGCTACCTGGTACTCTGTCATTCCCCCCACCCACAACAACAAGGTTATCCAAGTCAGTGCCACATTTCACTGGGAAGGTGCCAATGGCAGCCAAAAAGCTGAATTTCCTCACACATTTACAATTTCTATTCCTGGGTGGTGCCAAGTAGGAAGTAATACACACATTCACCTGTCTTTGTGCTACATCTCAACAGGAGGCCTGCTGAAAAAGCTTACAAGGGTACAAAGCCTCACATATGTATAAGGAATGGGATCAAATAGAGTCATCTGTTATATCAAGAACCGAGAAGATCGCAAATTAATTTAAAAAGACAATGCTGAGATGCCAACACTAAGATGAAACGGGTTGAATTAACTTATGAGGATGTTAAAACAGCATCATAACAATGGTACAAGCCAATGGAAAAAAAGGAAAACCTCAGCAAAGAAATAGAAGTTATGAAAATAAAAAGAACCAAATGAAAGTTATATAATTAAAAAGTAATCTAAGTAAATACACTGGACAGGTTAAGTGGAGTGGTGATGACAAAGGACAGATCAGTGAATTTGAGGAGAGATCAGTAGATCTGCCCAATCTGAAAAACAGAGAGAAAGCAAACTGGAAAACATTAGAGAGTCTGACAACCTGCAGAATTACAAAAGAGCTAAATTTGTGTTGTGCCAGTGACAGGAGAGGAAGCAGATTTGAAAAGTAAGGAATAATGACTGATAACTCTCCAAATATGGTGAAAGATGGAAATCTACAGATTGAAGAGGCTGAGCAAACCCTCATATAGGGTAAAGTAAAGAAATTCATATCAAAATATCATAATTAAACTTCTGAAAACTGAAGACAAAGAAAAACCCTGGAAAACAACCAGAGAGATGATGCATTACATACAGGGAGACACTAATTTGTTTGTTGTTTGTCTGTTTTGGGGTCTCAGTAGGTTGCCCAGGCTGGTCTTGAACTCTGAGCTCAAATGCCCCAACCTTCTGAATAGCTAGAACTATGGGTGTGCACCACCAAACCCAGGTAAGAAACATCAATTTTGAAAAACCGTGGATTTTTCCTTTAAAACCATGGAACAGAGAGAAGTAGCAAACATTTTCAAGTGCTAAAAGGAAAGAACTATCAATAGCAAATTTCATATCCAGCAAAAGTATTCTTCATGAATTATGGGAAAAATAAAGATTCTCTCAGATTAAGAAAAAGTAAGAATTTTCCATTGGCAAACCCACCCTTAAAGAATAGCAAAAGGAAGTTCTCTAAACAAGAAGGAAATGATAAGAGAAAAAAGTATGGAACTTCAAAAAAGAAAAAAGAACATCAGAATGGTTTAAAAACAAACAAACAAACAGGAATAAATATAATAGACCATCCTCATAAGACTCTTAACTTTGTGTTTGAAGCCAAAATTATAACCCCATCTGATGTGGTGCTCAAGGTGTGCAGAAGAAAGATTAAGGATGATTGTATTTTAATATGGGAAGGCTCAGAGACTTCTTAATGTTTTTTTGAAGTGGCAAAATATTGACACAAGGAGACTGATAAGTTTTAATGTAAGTTTAATGTAAAATAAGTTTATAATGTAACAATAGAGCAACCACTCATAAAACTATATAAAGCGGTATGTTAAAAATGCTATAAATAAATCAAGATGGAATCATGAAAAATGTTCCAGTAACCCACAAGATGGTAACAAACAGAAGAATAGAAAACAGTAGAAACACACAAAAGACAAATAACAAAAATGCTAGACTCAACTCCCAACATAATAATTATATCAAATGCAGATGACCTAAATATGCCAACTAAAGACAGATTGGCAGAGTGGATTAAAAAATATGATGCAATCATATGCTACCTACAAGAAACTCACTTCAATGCACTATAGCTTGACTAAAAGTAAAAGGATAGAAAATGATACTGTGCAAATATTAAAAGCAACAGTGGCTTTACTATCAGAAAAAATAGTCTCCAGTACAAATAAATTTACTAGAGAAATACTGATAAAAGATCGATCCACTAGGAAGACATAATTCTACATAAGTAGAACAAACAACAGAGCCTCAAAAAAGATAAGGCAAAAATTGACAGAGTTGAAAGGAGAAACAGACAAATCTACAAGTATAGTTTGGGTCTTCAACATCTCACTCTAAGCAATGGACAGAACTAGTAGCCAAAAAAATTAGCTGGGATTGAATTGAAGAATAAAGTACAGGATTTAACTGACATATATAGAGAACACTCCATTGGACAATACAGCCATGGAACATTCACCAAGACACAGCATATTCCGAATAATGAAATAAATCCCCCAAACGTAACAACTGAATCACAGAGTGTATTTCCTCACCATAGTGGCACCAAACTGTCAGTAATGAAAACGATGGGAAATATCCAAGCACTTGAAAATTAAAAATGAACTGCTAAATAACTGAAAGAGAAACTCTCAAGGGTAATACAAAAATGCGTAGAGATGAATGAAAATGAAAATTCAACATATCAAAGTATATGGGATGCAATATTATGAAAATATCAATTCTCCCCAAATTGACAACCTGTTTCTAAAATATATATGGACAAGCAAAATATTTAGAATAACCAAAATAATTGTTTGAAAGAACCAGAAAAGAATTCAGAAATAGATCCACACAAATGTGGTCAAGTGATTTTTGACAAATATAATGAGGTTGGGGAAGGAAAGTTTTCAACAAATGGTGCTAGACCCACGGGACGTCCAATATAGTAGAAATCCCAACCCCATGTCATCATAAAATTAACTCAAAATGGATCGTGACCTTAATTGTAAAACCTAAAACTTAAAATTTCTAAAAGAAAATAATGAAATCTTTGTGAACTTGGATTGGCAAAAAATCATAAAGCATACAAGAGAATGTTATGAATCAAAATTCTTGAATGACAACATTCAAAAGAGAATGAAAACAAATTACAGACTTGTTTACAAATCACAAAATGTTTGCAACTTACATATCAATGGACTTAAATCCAGAATATATAAAGAAATCTTAAAAATCAGTAAGACCCAGTGAGGTGTGGTAGCATATGCCTGTAATTCAAGCACTCAGGAGGCTGAGGCAGAAGGATCACAAGATCAAGAATCGTCTTGAGCTTGCCAGGAGCCAATGGCTCACACCTGTAATCTTAGCTACTCAGGAGGCAGAGATCAGGAGGATTGCAGTTGGAAGCCAGCCTGGGCAAATAGTTTGTGAGACCCTATCTTGAAAAAAATCCTTCACAAAAAGAGACAAGGTGTAGGCTGTGTTCAAACTACAGTTCTGCAAAAAAAAAAAAAAAAAAAAAAACCTGTCAGAACTGTCTGGAATATATAGGAGGACCTGTCTCACAAACAACAACAACAACAAAACCCAGTAAGACAAACATTCTAATTTAAAAATGGGCAGGAGACTCAAATACATACTTTACAAAGGAAGATATATGATTGGCCAGCAAGCACCTGAAAAGATGGCTCAATCATTCGACATCAGAGAAATGCAAATTGAAACACAATATCATTCTTCACCCAATAGAATAGTTAAAATTTTAAAATCAGATCATGTCATGTGTTGGCAAATATTTGGAAAAAATGGAATTCTCATGCATTGCTAGAGGGCTTATAACGTAGCACAGCTACTTTGGAAAACACTGGAATTCTCTTCAAAAGCTAAGGATGCACCGTAGGACCCAGCCATTTCACATTTCCCTGTTTACCTCAGAGAAACAAAATATGTCACAAAAGACATACCAATATTCATTATGGCATTATCTTTAATAGTCCAAATCTGGAAACAAACCCAATGTTCATCAGTAGGTGACCTGATGAACAATTTGTGGTATATTCATCAATGGATGGTAAGAAGAAGAATAATAGTTATTGTTGTTATAATTACAATAAGATAGGACTGAGGTGTGGCTCAAGTGGTAGAGCACCTGCCTAGGAAGTGTAAAGCCCTGGGTTCAAACCCCAGTACTACCAAAATAAATAAATATAATAATAAAATAGAACAGAATGAACTGTTTCTACAAACAGCAACCTGAATCTCAGAATAATTACTGTAATTCATAAAAGCCAGCAAAAATAGAGTAAGTACTTTATGATTCCACCAATATAAAATTCTACAAAATACACTAGTTTGTTGTGAGATTTTTTTAGGGCAATGTAAAATATAAAGAACAAAGACTAATATTTCAAGCTGCCATTTTGCTAGGCTCATATTTCAAAAAGAATTGGAAAGTCAGTCCTCCAAAAAGTCTAGGATTTGGAGTCCAGCATGTGTCTTCAAAAAGATTTTTTAAAAATTCTTAGCAAGTTGTCAAAACTAAGGGAACTGTTCCCAGGTCAAAGATGGGTTAAAAAATCACGATACAAACAAAAGCAAGAACTTTTAGTTTGTGAGTTGTTTTGGGGGAAGCCTTGGGGCTTTTGTAGACTTCTTGCCTTCTATTCAGCTTCAGGTCTTCATCATCTCTCTCAATGCACCTTTGAGGCAATGGTAAGTGCATACACACTACCTTTTTTTTTTTTTTTTTTTTGGCGGTACCAGAGTTTGAACTCAGGCCCTCACACTCACTTGGCAGGCATTCTACCACTTGAGCCACTCCACCAGCCCCTATACTCTACCTTTAATGGAGCTATAAATTAAGAAGAGAGTAAAGACTTATGAGTGTGAAACAGAGGACAAGCATAAAATTATTGAAGAAAATTCAACCATCTACTTGAATCCCCTGAAAACTGATAGGTAATTTCTAAATTAAAATTAAGCAATTTCTAAATTCAAGTGGCTTGTCTATGTGACCTAAAATTTCAGATGGTAACATAAAAACAGAATTCAGAGCAGATATCCTGAGCAGTGTGTCCCAAAAGGCTGTAGGCGGAGGAAGTACACTGGCTCCCATTACTCTCTGAAAAGCAGGACTAGGATTCAGAGCTGTCTCTGGGCACCCATAATACAGAGTGAACAAAAGGCCCGTGTACCCTCTAAATAGGTGCCGAGTGTAAATGAAAGCCCACATGACATCCAGAGTTGGCAGGATGTCAACTCCTTCACTACTAGTGGAGGAGTATAAAATTTAACCACATGTGCACCCATTGCTCAGCTGTCTATTTCTAAGAATCAGTTCTACATAACTGTAGCACCATATGTATTTGTAAATGTGTTTCTCTTTATTTGTTTGCGTACTAGTGGAAGTTCACAACATCAGTTTGGCGCTATAAGGCAAGAGGAACTAGAGCCAAACTATCCATCAATGAATAAGTCCTCAGATGTACTCATTCTCTACACCTACTAAAGATTGAGGCAAATTGATATGCATTTAGCTAAAAAAAAATTACCATGGTGTATTATTAAAGCAAAATGCATGGAGAGAAAAGTTGATAAAGCACTTACCTCTTTGGGATGAGAATGGAGGGAGAAAGGAGGAATTTCTCATATACATATATATGTATCTATTTAAGTGTTAAAGATTATGGCTGGTTTTCACTTTGTGGTTTGTGTTTTTCAACATTTCTCTTAAACACTTACAAATAAATAATACCCAAAGCTATTGAACATGTTTCCAAGATAGAGACAGTGACAAGGCCAGCATCCTAATCCTTTGCGTCCATGGCCATCCACTGACCACAGCCAAAGTTTCCTGAAAGATATCTGTCCCAGGCAGGGGGTCAGGAAAATGACTACTCTAGCTGGAGCCTTAGTTCCAAACCCACACAATGGCCTCTGGTGACTGGACCAATCTCGTACCAGCCCCAAACTTGTGTCACTTGGAGGAGAAGCAGGTTCTATCATGTCTCAGAGAGCATCCCTTGGGTGCCCACCCATGGTAAGACTTTCAGAGAAGAATTAGGATATGACCTGAGGGCAAAGAATAGGAGACCTGCAGAGAAGCTCCTAAGCTGGAGCAGGGCTTAGGGAGGTGAGGGTTGTGCAGAGCAGGAAGCCACAGAACATAGATCTGGCTTTTATGGCTCTAATTTCTGCTCTTGATTGTTTTGTTCTTTTTTGGAGGGTATATTTTGTTAGACGAGATCTTCATGTGTGTGAACATGGAGAAAAAAATCTTACAAACATAATAATGAGTGAAAAAAGCAAGTTCCAAAAAGATATGTATTATAGAATAACTACATATATGTCAAAAACACTAATATCAGATTTTGCTTAGATGTACATGAAGAGGATATGGAAGGACGGCATCATTAAGTCAGGTAGTGGCCATCTCTGAGGTAAGAGGGAGGGGAAGAAAAGGGGTAACATTTCTGTTAGAACTGTTAAATGTTGTTTCTTTGAAAAAAAAAAGGTCTTGAAAGTAAAAGAGGGGCTACTTAGAAGGTAGAATGGAAAGGGGGAGGAAAGGGGAAAGAAGAAAGTTAATACAGGTGTACATAAGACCAAAATACATTATATACATGGATAAAATGTCATAGTGAAGCCCCTTTGTACAAATAATAAGAACAGAAAGTTGCCTAAGCAAATATACCAAACTATGTGAAAATAAACTGGTAAATACATGTGAACCTGTTTTCGGTTTTACTGTTTTCTGTGTATAAAGATATACATCTAAGCTGAGTTCTGGTGGCTCATGCCTGTAATCCTAGCTACTTGGGAGACTGAGACTGGGAGGATCACAGTTCAAGGCCAGTCCATGCAAATGGCTCTTAAGATCCCATCTCCAAAACAACCAGAACAAAATGGACTGGAGGTGTGGTTCAAGTGGTAAAGTGCCTGCTCTGCAAGTGCAAAGTTGAGTTCAAACCCCAGTCCCACAACAAAAAAAAAAGATCCACATCTAAATGAGGTATTTCCTAATTGCCATCAAAAGGACATTGTCTTACTCTTCCAAATGTTAAATTTGTGGCATTTTTCCCCTTAAAATGGCTAACAGAGAAAATCACAGTACTTACTTATTCTAGGTAATATTTTTAGTTCTTCAGGTGGTTCACCTTCATCAGACCAGTTGACCATTGCTTGTTCATGCTCAGAGGCATGGATTTGTTGCTGTGCATTTTTTCCAATAGACCAGTCTGTCAAGGGCTCCTGGAGTTTCTTCTTCTGGCTGCTCACATGATTATGGTGGAAATATGCGAATAATAGGGCTGTCGAGACCCCAAATATCAAGGACCCATAGAATAAACACTGAATTAGACTTCTCATTGTAAACCTAGCATTTTTGAAGGTCCATTTTCAATTTCCTAAACCAGAATGATTTAAGAGAGGCATCATTAGATAATTCAATGGTTTGTATAAGATCCACTTGGCTTACATTCAATGATCAGTGTTTTAAAAATAGGATCATTTTGATATCAGTCCTCATTACATTTTTCTATTAGAATCTCTTCTTTTTCCTATTATCAAAAGGTCTTAAAATGAATATCCATAGCATTGACAAATATCCAGACTTACCAATATCAAACATGCAGTGTCACTTAAAGTCCTGTCCCCTACTCCTTGAGGGAATAATGCGGCAGAGCCTTACTCAGCCCTTACCCATGCCCAAACCATCTTGGAGAATTAGTATTGGTCTCACAGAATCTGATTTGACACCAATCAGACTTTAAAATATAAAAATATGCAGTGTCACATGCTGGAGAAAAAGTGGGCAATGAGAACTGCTGAAGTGAGTGTACATTGCTTTGGCAGTTGTAAGGCATGACAGGAGCCCAACAAGAAACATGCACATGCACGTCTATTGAAGTAGTGTTAGTACAATCCTATAGGACTGGTGACCTTTTAAGAAGAGGGTCAGAGAAGGGCACACCCAGAGGAAAGGCCATGTGAGCGCGCAGGGAGGAGCTGGCCATCTGCACGCAAGGAGAGAGGCTTCAGGAGAAATCACCCCTCCCAACGCTTTGACCTTGGATTGCAGCCTTAGAAACTTCAAGAAAATTAATGCCTGCTGTTTAAACCAGCCACTCTGATGTGTTGTTATGGCCACCCAAGCAAACTACTACAAAAGCCAAAGACCAAGGCATTTGAGTAAAGCCTGCAGAAAGAAAAATAAACTACATGTAGAACCAGAAAAGGGGAGCAACAAATAAGAACTTTCAAAATATCAAAACATGGCCAGGCACTAGTGGCTACTTAGGAGGCTGAGATCAGGAGGATTGTAATCCCAGGCAGCCCAACTAATAGTTTGAGAGACCCCCATCTCCAAAATAACCAAAGCAAAATGGACTGGAGGTGTGCCCCACCCAGTAGAGTGCCTGCTTTGCAAGTGGGACGCCAAGTTCAAACCTCAGTCCTACCAAAAAAAAAATATATATCGATATATCTATATATAGATATAGATATATCGATATATATATCAAAACATAGATTTTGATTACTCAGAGAGAGCAAAGATTCTACATTCATAAAGGAACAATTAGAGAGTAAATACCGTTGCTACAGTTTAAAAAAATCACTACAAGTTTGGAAAATAGAGAAAGAAATTTTCTGGAAAGCACACCAAAACAACAGAGTTACAACTGAGAAAGAAATGAAAGCTATGGTGTTTCCTTCCCAGAACATCCAACTAGTTTTGTTTGGTTTGTTTGGTGATCCTATGCCACAGAGCCACATCCTAGCCTCTAGCACAGCCAACTAGTAATGAGTTTCAAAAAGCAATGAGAGAAAATGGCAGTGAAAATTATCAAACTAATAAAGAACTAAAGAGACCCACAGAATGCTCCACACAGCAAATGAGGAAAGATCCCGAAAGCTTGCAGAGGAGGTGACATTTACAAAGGAGAATCAGAATGACATTCAACACTGGATTCAGAAAAGTTACAGAGAAATGGCTTCAAAACTCTTAAGCTAAATTATAGTCAACCTAGAATTCTATACCTAGTCAAAACCTAATCAAGCTTGAGAGTAGAATAAAGGTATTTCCAGATATCTAAAGGACTCAGAAAAAGCACTCTCCATGTATGCTGTTTTTTGGAGAAGGAGGACCACATTCAGATTGTAAATTACTACAAAGCAAAAAGGGGTGGAAGAGGAGAAGAAGTCACCCACATCCCTAGAAGGTAGAGGTCAGAAGACCTAGTTGATGGATTATGGTACTGGGGAAATTTAAACAGATAACACTGCTGGTACTAACATTTAATACTATTTACAGAGGGATGAAGATACAAACATTGATTACTATGTTAGCCAAAAAAATCACATAGATTTATTAGAAAAATAAACCAGAAGAATGAAATTGATGCATAAGATATTGGGAAATAGAAGCCTTAGGGTTAGAGTAAGAAAAGTTAAAAACAACAAAAGAAATACTAACCTAAGAGTAGCATAAAGGAACTGTCTTAAGAACCATTAATAAGTCAAAAGTGGTTGAACTAGAGATTGGGGGTTAGGGAGGGAATTGGCAAGGACCAAAGTTTTGTTTTTATCTTACTTTTTTGTGGGACTGGGGTTTGAACTCAGGACTTTGCACTGATTTACTGCGTTAGTAAAAGCAGTAATGGACCTCCAGTCCATTTTGCTCTGCTTATTTTGGAGATGGGGGTCTCTTGAACTATTTGCCTAGGCTGGCCTCAATCCTCAATCCTCAATCCTCAGTCCTCCCCATCTCAAGTAGCTACTGACACCTGGCTTTTATCTGGCTTTTTATATGTATGCATTTCACTGAAAAAATGTTTTCAAAGACTTAAAACACAAGATTAGAAATTAAACAAACCATGTCTATAAAATACCATCAATGCTAGGAAACAAGTGGATGCAGCTAGTAGCTCTTGGTCTCCTCACCCTATCCCTGTAAGTCACAGGCATCTGCTATAAATCGGTGAATGAGCCTCCAGCTCTCCAAGTCTACCCTGGGTCTATGACCATCAACACAGCTCCTCCTTTGTCTTGTGCATGATTCATGCAACCATCTTCCTTGAACATTTATTGTTGGCTCACACTTTTCCCCTTGACTCAGGAACAGCATCTGGCTTCTGTTTTGACTGTGGATTTGCCTTGGGAATGGGCTTATGTAAATACTTGAGCTCCACTAGGAAACCCAGAGTGCTCCACAAAACCTAGTACCCAGAACAAGTCCATGGCATCAAACCCTAAGCAGACTTTGACCCCAAAGGGACTTGGACACACGTGGATAAAGTGTCTTCCCTAGTGAATCCTGGGCTGACCACCCAGGTCACACACACCCTACCTCAGAATCTTTCCCCAAGTATCCTCCCAGCCACCAGATCAATAACTGGGGTCAAGTCACACAGCCTGTTGAGGAAGGGAGGAGAGTGCACCCAAGGAATTGCAGCATTGGCCATAGACAGCCAGCAGGAGCCAGGAGTGCTGATGTGGAATAGTCCTGCAGATGCTGGATTAAGTGATAGAGTGTAAGGTCAGAAAGGGTAGAGTCTATCAATGAAGGAAGACTATTCCAGGACCTGTGATTTAACACCTGACAGAGATTCACAGTAAAGGTTAATTGACTGAATAACTAACACTTCACAAGTAAAATGTGAAAAGTATACACAAGTAAAGGAAAAGTATCAAATGGATACCAGCGGAAGGTAACTTCTGACTTGGGGAATGATAGATAAAGATAATTCAGGACTAGAGTGTAGCTTACAGCTAGAGTGCTCACCCAGCATGGGTGAGGCCCTGGTTTGATTTGCAGCACACACATACACACAAAACAAAACAAAGAAAGAGAAGAGAATTATATTATCACAATAATTTCTTACTAAATGTTTTAAATTTGAGAGATTTGTGCTTTCTCTAAACAGCAAAAGTAATTAGAAACTAATTAAAAGGTGAACGATTTATACAATGTGAAGAGAAATCAGAGTTAGAAACTAATTAGATGAGAAAATAGGCTAGGAGAGGCCATCCCAGGTATTGTGTGCTAGGATCATTACAGAAAAATAAACCCATATTCTCTAGAAGTATTCTAATGTATTAAGAAAACTTGGGGGAATTCTCTTCGGATGAAAATAGCCCCTCTAGTTTTATTAGATTGTTAATTCATGTTCTTACGTTACATTTTCTTAATAGTGCCTCCTCTCTGGTTCTCACTTCCCACCCCACTCCCACTCCCACAAAATTTGGAAAACCTCTGAGACCAACACATAGAGCTAAGAGATCTACCATCAGCTTTTCAACTCTGTATCCTCAGAAGAAATCATCTTTAGTAATTTTGTTCACCAAAATATGCTGAATTCACATGCTAGAAGAACACAGAATTTTAGAACATATTTCAATGGTGAGTTGCATGTACAGAAGATAAGAGTGTAAGTACATTAAAGAGACCTAGCAGTTAATGAACAGAATACTTTCAAGGAGAGAAAGCAGCTAGTAACCCCCCCACCACACACACAAACACATGTGCATACCCCAAAACCATAACTGGATTTACAGTTAAGCCTTTTTAAAATGTGAGACTTTAGAGTCAAGGAAATGTCATGACTGATTTTTTCTGTAAATAATCATTATTTTTAGTCCTTTGTCTTCCTGAGAAGAAGGAAAAGGACTCTGGGACCTTCTGATACTCCACGGGCTTTTGTCCCTTACTGAATTTTTTTTGGATAAGTAACACATTTGCTTGATATAAATGTTGACAGCACAAAGGGGCACAAAATAAAATTGGCCTGTTTTTCAAGAGCTAAAGCCATGACAGTACCCATGTACCCGTAAAGTGGCACAACCAGCCTAAGTAAATCTTCTTAATCCTAACCCAAGTCCTCATCTCCTTCCACATCAGTGGTCGGATGCACTTCTCCCACCAACTCCAGTGAAAGGACTTCACCACAGCTCTGTCTCCATTTCTAGCACCTGAGCTCCTCCACCTACCACTGAGGTAACCACATTGGTTGCTTTGAAAGTGATGAATTTGCCAAGCAGAGTCAGGTGGGGAGTCTATGCCAATGACTGACAAATGTAATGCTTTTCTGAATAGTGCTGGACTGTGCTGGGTTGATCTGTCACATGGTAGTGCTCAAAATGCAGCCTAAGGCAGCTTCACAAACCTGGTGACATCACACAGGGCATTGTCAGACCCCAGAGGCCCCTTGCCAGCAAGCTTTAGCCAACAGGTAAAATCCAGGAATCGAAGGTTCAAAGAAGCTTTTTTGGAATAACTGACTGATATTCCTTCTTCTTAGCTGAGGAAATAGGGAAAGTCTTGTGAGAGTCAAGGTCAAAATTCAGGGTAATTCCCTTCTCCAGGTTGG